CGCACCTGACAGGAGTCCTTTCCTCCTGCTAGCAGACCAGCACACATCATGTTGGCTGTGATGGTGCCCTGCCCATACAGACAATTACACTTGTTGTTTCCAACTATTGGTACCTGCACTTCCTGTAGGATGCCAGGTGAGGAGAGGGAGACTGAAAGGAAAAATAAACAACATTGTTTATAACATCATAAACAAGAGGCTTTAATATGTTTAGTAGGTATCAAAATCTGTGAATTTTCAGTGATTACAAGCATAAATTCAGATACAAAATTATTATTAACATCCTGACCAGAAAGGCAGCACGTTAGTTACTGAAAAAAGGAGCAAAGCTGGCAGTGTTATGTCAGGATGGATATGATCACGTACCACCCGGGCGAACATTTCCCCAGCCAGTGACCCACGTCTCAGTGCCAGTGTAGAAGGTACTGTTACTGGCTGCCAGGCAAACGGGCTGGATGTAGTCGGTGAAGTTTACATTGCTGCTGAGCTTCAGAAGAGCGAGGTCATTGTCATGTGTAATACTGTTGTATTGTGGATGAATAATGATGAGACTGGGGGTTCTGACTTGTTCATTTGAGATTGAAGAAGATTGATTCTGAAGCCCCAGATAAATACTCCAGCCATTTGTATTTGTGCTGAAGGAAGCAGAGCATCAAATAGTTAACAGAAATCAAGTTAAATAATAGACACTTTTTGCAAGTTGGATACCTCTCAGACTATTCATGTCAGTTTTAACATTGATACAGTTATATAAAATCAACTCTGTTGGTGTTTCCCAATGTGGTGCTCGGGGAGACCGACATTTTTGCTCTCTCCCTGTTCTCTGCCAGACAGTCCACATTTTCGCTCCCTCCCAGCTCCCAGGTATGGAGTTTGGAGGGAGCAAAAATATGGACTGTCTGATAGTCCCTAAGGACCAGATTGAAGACACTAACCTATATGACTCACCTGGTGACACAGTGGGCAGCAGTGAGCACCCACATATCGTTGATGAGGGATCCTCCACAAACATGTTGACCATACGAACGTAGACTGGCCTGCCAGGGCCAATTCCCCACGGGGGCATTCTGACCCCCCACTATCCTGCTGTTAAGAGGAGCTTGACCACACACTAGGGGAGGGGTGAGGGGAATCAGGTAAGGAGCAGTTTGCACAATGTTCCCACAGTGTTGGATATTGGTCAGTTCATTTTTTAAGCACTATGTCACATATTTTAAGAGAAGGAATAAAGCCACGATACTAACAAACTTACCATTCAATTGTGCATCTGACTCTAAAAAAATGGGAGAGAACAGCTTTGGTTAATTAATATAAAGTGATTGAAAATGCATTCATGAAGATTATTTCTTTGTTTTACATGGCTAATGTCAATGTTCATCCATTCATCCATTTTATTTACCCACTTGTCTTATTCAGGGTCGCAGGGGGTCTGGAGTTCATTCCAGAAGATACAGTCACAAAGCAGGGAACAACCCAGCATGGGGCGCCAACCCATCGCAGGGCACACTCACACACCATTCACTTCAGAAATACACACCTACAGAAATACACTCCAATTAACCTCAGCATGTTTTTGGTCTGTGGGGGGAAAGCAGAGTACCCAGAGGAAACCCCACGCCAATGCGGGGAGAACCAGCTCCATGCACATGGAGCCATGGCAGAGACTCGAACCCTGGTTAATCTCAATGTGACACCTTTTAAGTAGTTGGAATCTTTCACATATGAATACAGTTCAAACAAATGAATACCAGCAAAAGTAACTTTCCCAAACCCTCCATCATCACAATCCCACCCATTCATCTAGTTAATCTCAGATGTTTCCATACAAAATCAGCAGTGACATGTGGCTCTTGGTACTACAGGTTTTACTCAATATACCAGCTTCAACAGCATGAAAGGCAGTGAAGGTAGAGCACGCAAAACACTCACATTTGTCTTTGTAACCTAAACCCCACATGTTTGCAGCTGGGTAATTAAGGCCCTTATTTTCATTGTAATCATGGTGTCCTCATGGGCTCAGCTATGCGGCGTTTTAGTTGAGAAACCTGGGTGGCTGTTTTTGCAGCAGCCCTGAGATGGATACTGGGACACTGGGTGCCTCTAGAATAGCTGCCATAAACGCCTGCCGCTAAAAACCTTCCATTCTGAATTTCTTTCCTATTTTCATGATGCTCTGGTACGTATCTTTCTTGTACAATTAGCCCTCAGGCAAATTTACCTACTGACACAGATATTTCCTGTACTTCAGGTTGATCTGGTAGTTGCCTGAACGAGGAAGTGCTTTTAAAAAAAAATGCATTACTGACTGCAAAGCAAGTCATGGCATAGTGACCGTATAGATCATATAGATTGTATCTATTTTGCATGACCGCCTGGGTTAAATGATCATTCTTAGACAGGGAAGTGTGGTAGGACAGAGTGCCACAGACTGAAATGCTCTTTGCTCGGCAAGGTCAGCGTTCCGCATACGTCCAGAAAGTCAAGCCTGCAGCAAAATGCTGAGGTTACATAGAATTGTGTGAGTTTGTGGGTTCTTTCTGCAATTATTTAAGCATTTTATTTCAAACTACAGCAATTTCAATATTTTACCTGTTTTCTATTTTTATTTATTATTTTTTTTGTGATTAGCTCCTTTAACAAGTGTCGTGAGTACATCACCGGTATTATTTTTAATTTGACCATAAACCATTCTAAAAGTATTATATACTCAGCAAAAAAAGAAACGTCCCTTTTTCAGGACTGTGTATTTCAACAATAATGTTGTAAAAATCCAAATAACTTTACAGATCTTCATTGTAAAGGGTCTAAACAATGTTTTCCATGCATGTTCAATTAACCATAATCAATTAATTAACATGCACATCCGAATATCACACCTACGTGACAGGTACAGGATGGCCACAACAACTGCCCGAGTCACACCAGGAACACACAAGCCCTCAGTCCAGCCTCTCTCAGCCTATTGCGGACAGTCTGAGCACTGATGGAGGGATTGTGTGTTCCTGGTGTGACTCGGGCAGTTGTTGTGGCCATCCTGTACCTGTCACGCAGGTGTGATATTCGGATGTACCGATCCTGTGCAGGTGTTGTTACACGTGGTCTTCCACTGCGAGGATGATCAGCTGTCCTTCCTGTCTCCCTGTAGCGTTGTCTGAGGTGTCTCACAGTGCCGACATGGCAATTTATTGCCCTAGCCACATCAGCAGTCCTCATGCCTCCCTGCAACATGCCTAATGCACGTTCACGCAGATGAGCAGGGACCCTGGGCATCTTTCTTTGGGTGTTTTTCACAGTCGGTAGACAAGTCTCTTTAGTGTCCTGCGTTTTTAGAACTGTGACCTTACAGTAAATGCCTACTTTCTGTAAGCTGTTAAGGTCTTAACGACCATTCCACAGGTGCATGTTAATTAATTGATTATGGTTAATTGAACATGCATGGAAAACATTGTTTAAACCCTTTACAATGAAGATCTGTAAAGTTATTTGGATTTTTACAACATTATTGTTGAAATACACAGTCCTGAAAAAGGGACGTTTCTTTTGTTGCTGAGTATATATACAACAGTTCTGATAAAGCTACTGATATCATTGCCAATTAGCAAACATCTTGTAAACTTAATTATATGATAAAAGTTTTTTTTAAGTATTACTAATTTTTCATTAACCTATACAGAAAAGCTTGACAAGTCCATGATACGGTACTTTAAACATAATAAGTAAGTGTAAAGCACATTTGAAAAGATTCCCATTCTTATGTAATTTACATTAATTTTTAATGTTTCTTTCCTGCATTTCAAATATTTATTATGTAAGAATCACACAGCACTGAAGCGCAGATGCTGGCTTGTTGACTACACAGCACTTACCTCTATCCAGCAGGCTAAGCACCGTCACAAAAAGCACGCAGCTCCTGAATGCCATTGCATAAAGCAGAGACTCCGGTCTGTCTGTCTTTGCACATCATTTCTAATTTATATTGTGGACAAATCTAGCTACTAGCACATCCTACTCTGGCCGCAGGATTTTCAAACATTCCCAACGCCTTAGACATCACCTTTCTCAGCCGTTTCCTGCTTCCTCGTTGCCACTTCTGATATGCAACCGTATGATTCTTTCCTTTCATCGCAAGCTAATATCAAAAATGTCAGCGAAGCATTTAGTGCAATTAATTTAAATGTACTTTTGCTTAGTGTTAATCCAGCTTTTAATTACTATTTTAATTACTAAATTACTATTACCTTTTTTCACACGACCCGCAAAATTTGCAGACCTGTTTGCATATTTTCAGTATAGATATTTGAACATTTTTGGCATGGTTTTATAAATTTATAAATAAATTACATGCAAACCCTGAGTGTAGGTTTAGTTACAACATTGGTACACTGTCAGAAAAAAAGGGCACAACCCTGGTACAGTTTTGTACCTCAAGGTACAAACAACATTAATTTACCCCCAATATTAAAAAATGTTCCTTAGAGTCCATTTCTGTACTTTAAATTAGACTAAAAGGTACATTAACCTACAGCCAGGGTACACTTGGAAGACCCTTGAGGGTACAGCCCCAGTGACAAGTAATTTTACCCTCAAAGCTACACATTGATACTTTTTTTCTGACAGTATAGGGACCAAATCAGAGTGTAAAGGTTATATTACCAGAGCAATTGGGAACCCCCTTAATCACACACAAAGCTCCCACAATAGCCATTGGGATATGTCCCTACCATTCGTACCCAAATCTATGCCCTTATATGTGCCCTAAGTCTGAAGGAGATGGATTTTTAAAATACCACTGTCTCACACTGAACAATGTACAGAGAGACACTTAGAAATGGAAACATGGAGGTTCTTTTAAGGCTGGCATATTCCAGCAGTCCTGAAACTTAAAAACATGATTTTTTTTTTCTGCAACACTATGAAAATCCAGCATTGTTCCAAGAACGCATGACTCACAGTTACCTGCAGCAAATGCCCCGATACATGTACAGTACTTCCTTCTTAACAGCGGTCAGTAACATGTTCCACTTTCGAAATTCCGAAGTACCACATTACTATCTGTATATAAAGTGTTCAAAAAAAAAACAGCAACACCATGATAAATGATAGCAGAGAAAATATACAGTATCATACATTTGTCAAAGCAAAATTCATTCATCATTAATTTATCATCAGTTCATGTAATTCATGGGGAAACCTACCTTAGTTCGTGTTTTGTTCTTGAGTAGCAAATGAGTTAAGAAATTTTTGCTCCAAGTCTTACCATTATTAACTAATTAGTTAACTAATCTTGTGCCTGAATGTAATATATGAACTGTCATGATTGATTAATGACAAATTAGCATGGGATCAGTATGTAACTAACTTAGTTAATTAATGCATTAAGTAAGCATGTACTACTAAATTTTTCCTCTCAAGTCAACTCAATGTCCCCCTCAAGTAAAGTGTGACCTACAAAATGTAATAAAAGACAAGGAACATGAGGGGGAAAAAAACACATACACTAAAAGGTTGTTCCATTTATTGAAGTAAAATGGTTATCCAACACCTATATCACCTATTTAAAAAATGATTTCCCTCAAAACCTAACAACTGGTTGTGTCACCTTTAGCAGCAACAACTGTGATCTTCTTATTGTAGAATATTGTGTTACACCAGATGTAACAGGCCATTTTCATCCAAAGCAACTTATATTCTGTTTTGAGGGTCAGTTAGTTCCTGGAGTAGCAGGAAGCCATGAGGGTCCTCCTCAAAAGCCTAATGGTGAAATAACTCTGCTGACCATGTATTTGGTGTTTACTAAGGTGCTTTGTCATATTATTTTTTCATTGAAGAACTGAAACAATTAAGGGTAACACTTTACTTGATGGGGCACATCACAAACTATGTCTCATGTTAATTCATCATTAATGAATTGTAACGTTTTGTCTCAAGCATTTCCTGTGTCTGTTTCCATATCTGTTAATCCGGTTAACCTTTGTGAACTATTGAAGGAACTACTGAAGGAACTAGTAATGAATAACACAAGTGAAATTCTGATCTCATGTTTGTTCATCATTAATAAATCATGACTCATCTTTCATCTTGAGTAGCAACTATACTTGTTTACAAATTGTTCATAATTTGTACTTTAGTAGCTACCAAGTTATTACTAAGTATTTGTGCCACATCAAGTATAGTGTTACCCAATGAATAATGACAAATATACCAAAACAGAAGAAACCACTTTTTCACGGCACTGTAGCAACATTACATACACTTCTAGAAATAAGGGTAAAAAATTGTACCTTTGCTTGTCACTAGGGCTGTACCTTCATAGGTCTGCCAATTGCACCCTTAGCTGTAGGTAATTGTATCTTATAAGGTGGAGAATCCTGGATCCATCCTTACCAAAGCCCATCAGCAATTTCAGTTTCAAAGACACCTGAGGAAATGGGATGTGAGTGAGGCAACACTTAACATTTACTACTGTTGTATCACTGAGAGTATTATTAACAACAGTATCAACAAATGGTATGGTGAAGCCACTGCTCATGCACTGTCAGAAAAAAAGTACCGATTTGTACCTTTGAGGGTACAATTACTTGTCACTGGGGCTGTACCCTCAAGGGTCTGCCAATTGTACCCTTGCTGTAGATAAATGTACCTTTTAAGGTACAGAAATGGACTCAGGAACATTTTGTTTCATTGGGCTAGATTAATTGTACCAGGGTTGTGTCTGACAGTGTGTGAAGAACTTGATTACCCTCCATTGATCAGCTGTACACTCTCAGAAAATAGGGTAAAATTTGTACCTTTGCTTGCTATTGGTGCTGCACCCTCAAGGGTCTGCCAATTGTACTCTTAGCTGTAGGTAATTGTACCTTTTAAGACACAGAAATGGACTCTGAGGAACATTTCTGTACCATTGATGGTACATTAATGCTGCTGTACCTTTGCGATGTTCCCCATAGCTTAGTATGGTACAGTTACAAGGGTACAGCCCCAATGACAAGCAAAGGTACAATTTTTTTACCCCCTTTTCAGAGAGTGTACATTTTACCTGCATTAGTGGCATAATCTTTAATCTCCTTAAATATCCAAATGGGACACACCCTCCAGCATGTCATGACATGTAGCTCACTTCCAGTCTTTGCATTAAAGAATGAATGCAGCTACTCTATTGTTTTCCAGCCTGAATCACCTTGGAATGCAGTGTTTGAAATGTCACTTTGCTGGTCCAGGTCCAAAGAGAACAAAGACTCATACAATCGTGTCAGCAGCACAATGTCACAACATTATGTGTTCAAATGTATCTAAAAATAATATGATAATTCAAAGGACAACAGCATTCCACTTACCGTAGATGTATTCCTGTTATATAACCAGCAGTTTCTGGCATGCGGTTCTAAGCATCTTCTTGGCCATAAAAACATCCTTTGCCATGTGAAATAATCCATTACCAAACATACCCTGCAGTTGTCTAATAGAGTGTTTCTCAACCTGGACCTTGGGGAACCCCAGACAGGTCCCACCAGGAGCTGGAAGGAAGCAACAACATGGCCTGTCTGGGGGTCCCTGAGCCCCTGGGGGTCCAGACCGGTTTGGAAAACACTAGTCTAATAATTTCAACAATTAGTAGTTAATAAAAGTATCATCATCTAATTTAGTCATATCTGGGGTCTTCACAGCTTGTGTACATGCAGGGGTTGGCCAGTGAAAGTGACACACCTGCTTTTAGACCAGAACAATTAAGTGGGAAGTGGTGGCTTAATGATTAGGGATGTGCGCTTTGCAGGTTCGAATCCCTAACCACCAAGGCACCACTGAGGTACCCTGAGCAAAGTACCGCCCCCAAGCACTGCTCCCCGGGTGCTGAATTAGCTGCCCCCTGCTATGTCACATTGTCACATATGGGTTAAATGCAGAGAACATATTTCAATGTTGTGTGCTGTGGTGTGTCGACAATTAATCACTAAATTATAGTATAGAGCCCCCTTTTGTGGCCAATACAGCTTTACTTCATCTTGGGAATGACAGGTACAAATCCTGCACAGTGGCCAAAGAAATTTTGAGCCATTCTTCTAGCAGATCAGTGGCCAGATCACTATCTGGGAGGAGGAAAATGTTTCCCTACTTCACTTCAAAACACCGCAAAGTTGCACAATAATATTCAGATCTGGTGAAGGGAAGGGGAGATGTTCAGCTTTACTTTCATGCTCATCACGTCACTCTGTTACCAGTCTTGCTGTGTGTATTGGTGCATTATCGTCCTGATACATGGTACCACCTTCACGGTACAAAGACTGAACCAGCATGGTCCTCGAGAATAGTTCGGTAGTCCTTGGCAGTGATGTGCCCATCTAGAACAAGTAGAGGGTCTAGGGAATGCCATGATATTGCAGCCCAAACCATCACTGATCCACCCCTATACTGCAGTCTGGGTATGCAACAGTACAGGTGGTAGGCCTCTTTGGGGCTTCTCCACACCATAACTCTCGCAGATGTGGGAAAGGCTGTCAAGGTAGATAGATGATTGATTGACAGACAGACAGATACTCATTTAGGATGTACACACACTAGGTGATGTGTTCTGTGCTCAAGCACAATTTGACCCCAAAGTCCAGTTTGTTACTACTATGATTGCTTGACTAGTGCGATCACTTAATTCAGTTGGACTCGGCTAATTGGAGTTACCACATTGCCCGTGTGTGTGTGAACAATGTGAGAGTCTGCCCTGCGATGGGTTGGTGTCCCATCCTGGGTTGTTCTCCGCCTTGCGCCCATAGCCTCCAGACCCCAGACCCCCTCTTACCCTGAACAGGTTAAGTGGTTTCAGACAATGGATAGATGGGTGGATAATACAAATAATTCTGTTACTCATATCTACCTACATGTAAAATTTACAGTTTGTTGCTCTTATCAGGTGGAATGCTACAACAGAAACGTCAGAATAAGGATCGCATTAAAGCCAAATTCCACACATCATGGGGAGATTATGGAAACTCTACACACAGAAACCTGGAATTTGAACCATCCAGTGAAGGTGTGAGGTCATGGTGCAGCTGACCTTCTGATCATACAGTATTTTACCAGATGG